GTGGGCCAGCAGAGAGTCTGGTGGAATGTTTGGAAGCAGAAGAGCTCAATTCTGTGGCTTTATGTCGAAAGCTTTTATCTCGTGGGTGCAGCCAAGAGGTGGCATTTCAGCAGCAGCCCCCCCAGGCTCTCTGGCGTTTCCGAGCTGCAGCCAGCGGCGGGTGGGTCCGTTTGCTGGGACAGAGCTGGGGAGGGGACGGTGCTTTCCAGGAGGCAGGGATGTTTCTCACTGTATCTCTCATTTGTTTTGCTGGCCGAGGGCTTGGGGTCGTAACGAGCTCGTGATTTCTTCCCGCAGCGCGTCGTTCTGCGCGGAGCACGCCCGAAGGTTGGCGCTCCAGGCTCAGATGAAGAAGTCCAACCCCGGACCTGTGAGTGAGACGCTCCTTTGCCAGCTCAGCTCTTACGCCAAGACGGAGCTGGGCTCCCAGAGCGCTGAGAGCAGCCGCAGCGAAGCCAGCCGCATCCTGGGTACAAACAAAAGCCAGGGAGAGAGGCCCTGGAGTTCTGTTTTGTGTGGAAATGCCAGGCTGCGGAGCCGAGCTCCCGGGATCCCCGGCTGTCCTGCGCTGGAGCAGTGAGTGCGGGGACACGGGGCAGTGTCCTGCTGCTCAGGGCCACTTGTCCTTGCAGATGAGGACAGCTGGAGCGACGGCGAGCAGGAGCCCATCACGGTGGACCAGACATGGCGAGGGGACCCGGACAGCGAGGCCGACAGCATCGACAGCGACCAGGAGGATCCCCTGAAGTAAGCTGGGTGCTGGTGGCTGCTGGCGTGTGGAGCGTGCGGGGCGTCCCGAGCTCTGCGGGTACCCGAGGTGACAGTTGGGTTAAAGGGGTGACGTTAGTCACGGTGTGGCAGTTGGACTTTGTGCCTTGGTGAATTGCCAAGCCTTGGAGCTGGTGGTTCTTCTGGGAATTTGATGGTCAGACTCTTTCAGCGTGAAGTGGTCTGTTCAGGTCCCTGGGTAATCTCTTAAATTAGAAATAAATCTGTAAAAATCAGTATTTCTGCCCGTCCCGCGTCTCACCAGCCCTGCTCAGCCACGTTTCTGCTGACGGCGGTGTTATTCGGTTGCGAGAACAGCCCCCAGGGACCCTTAACAAACGTCCCCCTGTTCGTGTTTTCCAGGCACGCCGGCGTGTACACGGCCGAGGAGGTGGCTTTGATCATGCGAGAGAAGCTGATCCGCCTGCAGTCTCTCTACATCGACCAGTTCAAACGCCTCCAGCACCTGCTGAAGGAGAAGAAGCGCCGATACCTGCACAGCCGCAAGGGAGAGCACGAAGCCATAGGTGAGTAGCAGGAGAGGCGGTCACCAGCCCGTGTTCCTCTGCCGAGGGCACGGCGCTTCTCTACAGCACACGCAGAGCGCCCGTTGGAGAATCAGATTTCGGAGCGGTGCTGTCCCAGTAAGGGTGAAAATTCCCATAGGACTGAAATTTGGTGAGAGAAGGTGTTTCTGGGTCTGGCCTCGTGCCCGGAGATCGGTATCGTTGGGGTTGGAAGGGTTGCCGGCTTTCTTTGCTCTTCAAAGTTTGCAGCGTTGTCAGGAAATGAGGCTACAAAGTTAAGTCTGAGACAAAAGTTCTTTTTTTACACGGGATTTCCTGTTTTTAGTTTTATCAACAAAAAAATTATTCATCTGTGAGGTCCCGTCTGCATCGGCGTTTGTTGCAGATTTTACCCTGGTGCTGCCTCAGTGACACATTCGTGCTCAGCGCAGATGCGATTGTTCCCTTGGAAAAGTGCTTTTGCCTCGGCTGGAGTTTTCCCTGCACAGAATCTGCTCCTGAAGGCAGGAGGTTGGAGTTCAGCGGAGGCAGAACCAGGTTTTACAACTGGTTGGAAGCGCTGCAGCGCGAGGAATGCTGTCTCTAGCGGAGTCTTTTAATAGCTCATCCTGGAAAATGGCATCAGGCAGCTCGGTCCCAAGTAAAAATAACTGAAGTTTGGTACATAACAATTTAGTAGAACTCTTTTTAGCAAACCAGCCCTAGAAAAGCAGATCTCGAGCGTCGCCCTGTAATTACAGCTGCGAGGGCTTACGGGAACCTTCCAGAACTCGCACAGGGCTGAGCTGAAATTTCCAACTTCTGCCTGCAAGAAAGAGGCTTTCGAGTGGCCACGTTATTTTAAAAGACGTTTTAAAAAATACTCCTAGTGCTCTTCATGTGCACTGAGAATTTGGGATAAATTTTGGGATGGAATCTGCTCTGTCATGGTGTGTAACCCAAAGTCGTGCTTCCTGTTTACAGACGCCGCTCTCGCTGCCCGGGGACATCTGTGTCGTTAGGCAGCTGGTGGAGCTCTTGACAGCTGATTCTGGCTCCTGGTACTGAAAAAAAAAAAGGACGTGGCAGGTGGAGTGGTATTTTCTGACCTTTCCCTCTCTCCCCGCAGGCAGCAGCCTCCTGACCGGCCCCGAGGGGCTGATGGCCAAGGAGCGGGAGAACCTGAAGCGCCTCAAGTGCCTGCGCCGCTACCGGCAGCGCTACGGCGTGGAAGCGCTGCTGCACCGGCAGCTGAAGGAGCGCAGGATGCTGGCGACGGACGGCGCTGCCCAGCAGGTACGCTCAGGACCAGCTCCAGCCGGGGTCACAGCCTCGCTCGGAAGCGGGGTCGGTCCTCCTGTCCCTTCCTGGGGACAGCCCCAGGCCTGTGCCGGCCCTTCCAGCCCGTCCCTTGTAACAACAAACATCAGGATCTGGTCCTGGCCACCCTCCGCGATGTCCCCACATTGGCTTGAAGGTTTCTGAGTCGTTTTAGTGGGCACCAAAGCTGCAGAAGTTCAGGTGTGGGGCTGGAGAATTTTCTTTTTCTAAAGGGGGGGGGCTCAGTGCCAGGCAGCTGGAATTTCACGGCTGAAATAAGTGGGGAAAATCCTCCTTGTGGTGGGGAAACCCAGCCAACCCCTAGACCTGTGGGGACAGAAAGGCAGCCCCGGCGTCAGCTGTGATGCTGGGTTTGAAGCTGTCTGCCGCCATTTCTTTGTAAGTGTTTGAAAATTCAAAGCATTCCGTTAAGCGACTTCTGCAGGCTGGCAGATAAGTCTGAGAAACCTCATTCCTCGAGATGTACTTATGATGTGAAGTTGTCCCTGTTGAAATCCATTTGTGCTGTGTTATCTCGGCTCTGTTGAACCAAAGCTGGAATGAGAAGGACATAATGAGGAGCTGGGCTCTGCTGGGGTGGAACCCAGAGCTTGCTCTTGGCATGGTTTGAAAGCAGGATGCGGGCGTTGTGCAGCCGAGGGGCTTTCCCTGGAACAGAACCCGGCGACGCTCCGGCGCAGCGCTGAGCTCTCCCCTTGGCCTCGTAGGCGCACACCACCCGCTCCAGCCAGAGGTGCTTGGCCTTCGTTGACAACGTCCGATGCTCCAACCCGTCCCTCCCGATGACCCGGCACTGCCTTGCGCGTATCCTTTGATCCGCCTGTGCTGTCCCGGCGCTTTGACGTGGGTCTGATCCTCTTTTTTCCTCTCTTTGGCCCTGAATCAAGGCCGCCGGCTTGCTGTAGCCGTTGGTTTCAAGCAGGAGCCCAGAGGAAGCGTCTCCCGGTCTGTTGGCTCTCCCGTCCCCGTGGAACGGCCAATTCGTGTGGGAGAGACAAAAAACCAGGCTCGTCCTCGCCTCTGCCCGGGCAGGTCCTGCTGCAGCCATCCTGTGCGGCGCTGGCTGATCCCCGGCGGCCGAACGGGGCAGCTGGTTCACTTGGGAGCGGTCAGGGAACCTCACGAGGCACGAGGGAGTTTTCTGGCTGCGTGGAAGGGGTAGAAGCAGGTCTGCTCCCCGCTGCTGGGTGCCAGCATCCGTCCTGGGCCAGGGCTGCGAGCTCTCGTCCCGATCCCTGCTGGGAGGGAGGCTGGTTCGGCTGCTGAAGTGGTGATTTTTGGGAGGATCTGGATGAGGGAGTGGTTTCCTGGGACTGCCATGGGTCAGCTCAATCTCCTTTTAATTCTTTACTCCCT